GCTCCGTCTCTGCCGGTCGCACTGCCTCCAGATCCTGAGCGCCAGAGTCCTGCTGTTCATGACGCACAGCCCGGCCATCCAATCACAGCTCGTCGAGGAGAATAGCCTGCGCTCATTGGTCGCGGCCCTGGACACCACGCACGACCCGGTAAGTTCAAAATCGGAGGGCCGCTGTTTTTTTTTCTTTTTTCTTGGTTTTCTTTTTCTTTTTTTCTTTTTTTTGGGGGTGGGGGTGGGGTTGGGGAGAGGAGGGGAGGGGGGAAGTAGGAAGAAGGGAGAGAGATGAGAGAGAGAGAGAGAGAGAGAGAGAGAGAGGAGAGAGAGAGACGGGGGGGGGGGGGGGAAGTAGGAAGAAGGAGAGAGATGAGAGAGAGAGAGAGAGATGAGAAAGAGAGCGAGAGAGTGAGAGAGAGAGAGAGAGAGAGAGATGAGAAAGAGAGCGAGAGAGAGAGAGGGGGGGGGGGAGAGAGAGAAAACTATAAAATAGTGGAAGAGTGAGAGTAAAATAGAAATACAAGGGAGAGAGAGATACAATAAAAGAGAAAGAGAGATACAAGAAAAAGAAGGGAGAGAGATGAGAGAGAGAGAGAGAGAGAGAGATGAGAAAGAGAGCGAGAGAGAGTGAGAGAGTGAGAGAGAGAGAGAGAAAGAGAAAAGAAAGAGAGAGAAAACTATAAAATAGTGGAAGAGTGAGAGAAAAATAGAAATACAATGAAGAGAGAGATACAATAAAAGAGAAAGAGAGATACAAAAGAAAAGAGAAAGAGAGATACAATAAAAGAGAAAGAGAGATACAAAAGAAAAGAGAAAGAGAGATAAAAGAAAAGAGAAAGAGGGATAAAAAAAGAGAAAGAGAGATACAAAAGAAAAGAGAAAGAGAAAGTAAAAAAAATGAGAGAGAGAAAGAAAAAGAGAAAGAGAGAGAGAAAGACAAAGAGAAAGAAAGTGAATGTAATTTCAAAGTCGTTTAGTCGACAGAGCAACAGGGAAGACCGATAACAGATTAAGCAAGATAGGAAAGTCATCTAAAATCTCAGACTGATTAAGATTTTTGCATTACGGAGAAAAATATCATGATACGTCGGAGGGTAATATTTTAATTTCATTTCCAAGAACGCAAAGGAGATTTAATTCCTTTTGTCTGCGTTTCTCTGAATCGTCGGTGTAGAAAATGAGGAGGAGAGAGAGAGACGGGGGGGGGGGGGGAAGAGAGAGAGAGAGAGAAGAGAAAAGAAGATTGAGGGAAAGGATGAGAGAGAGAAAGAAAGAGAAAAAGAAAAGGAAAGAGAAAGAGAAAAAAAAGATAGAGGGAAAGAGAGAGAGAGAAAGAGAAAAAGAAAAGGAAAGAGAAAGAGAAAAAATAGAGAAAAAGGAAGAGAGATAGAGAAAGAGAAAAAGAAAGAGAGAGAGGCTATTCTTTTAAACTTTTTCACCTCATAATCCATCAAAAAATATTGATTAACATCCTGGCCTAAAAGAAAAAGAAATCTCTATCTCTCTTCTTATTTTTTTTTCAAATCCCTGAAAATGGCGCCAAAAAATACATATATTGACCAAAATACTCGAAATTTTGGCTCGGTTTCCATTCCAACTTTTACCTTTTAATATATATCCGCTAATAATCTTTACTTAATTGTAAAAACCCTGTTATTTGGACCTCAAGTTCTTAACTAAAAAAAGGAAAAAAAAAAACTTTTTCGCTTTACTAACAATGTTCCTTTTTCCTATTTTCTTGTTTTTTTTTTTCATACAGGCTTATCACTAAAATGGTGTTTAGGTAAATAGGTGTAGATCGGTAGATAAATATATTTTTTTTCCTCGTTATTATTGTGCATGTAATTTCGTTTTTATGATTTTTTTTTTCGTTTTTTTTTTTTTTTTTAACTATTACTACCATTTCGGAGTAGCGTTACTATTTTTACTACTACTACTATTACTTTAACTGCTACTACTACTACTACTTATACTACCACTAATACTAAGATATATACTATTAATACTACTACTACGACCTCTACTAATGTTACTACTTATACTACTACTACTACTACTACTACTACTACTACTACTATTACTACTATTACTTATACTACTTCTACGACTCCTACTACTACTTATACAACTACTACAACGACTACTACCACCACTGCTACTACTACTCCTTATACTACTGCTACTACTACCACGTGCTACAATTACCGCTAATTTTATTACTAGCAGTATTATTTCTAATTCTAAAGTTACTACTACTGCTATTATTACAACTGCCCCTACTACTATTACTACAACTTCTACAGTATTATTGCTTGCGTCCCTGTCATTCATCATCATAATTATTATTACCATTATTATTGTTGTTAGCTTTATCATTATTAGTATCACAATCGTTATTAGTCATCATCATCATTAATGCTATAATGATCATCGGAAGTTTGTTTGTTCGTGGCTTTTTTCTTCTTCTTCTTTTTCTTCTTTTCTTCTTCTTCTTCTTCTTCTTCTTCTTCTTCTTCTTCTTCTTCTTCTTCTTCATTAACGCCGTCATTGTCGTTAACGCCATAATCATTAATGTTATTACTATCCTCATTAACGCTATCACCATCATTATTAGCGCCATCATCATCATTAACATTATCGTTATCATTAACACTATCACCATCACCATTAACGCTATCATCATCATTAACACTATCATCATCATCACCATATTTAATAGTAATTCCCTTTCTTCTCATCCTCATCATCATCATCATTATCTCCATGACTTTAATCGACGTTCTCTCTTTCTCTCTCTTTCTCACCCCTATTAGTGTCTTCCCTCTTTCATTCATTATCCACTCGCCTTTCCCCATTTTTATTACCTCTTTCTCTCTCTCTCTCTCTTCTCTCCTGTCATTCCTTTGCATCCAGATTCCCCTCTTATCTCGTTCTCTCTTGTTACGACGTTTATTATCCAGTCCCTCTTCCTCTTCCTCTTTCGTTGGGTCAAAATGTCTCATGTGTTTTATATTTTCTTCGTTTCTATGTTTATATTGCATAAGATAAGATAAGAACAAGAAAAAATATGGATAAATGGGTAAATAAACAGATAAGTACATATGTAGAGAGATAAAGATAGATAAAGTAGATAAGAAGGTAGATACATAGATGGAGAGATAAATGTTTATATAGATATGGATATGAATATACACATGCATACATACGCGTAGATATACGAGTGTGTGTGTGTGTTTATAGATAGATATGTATGTATGTATGTACACACACACACACACACACACACACACACACACACACACACACACACACACACAAACACACACACACACACACACACACACACACACACACACACACACACACACACACACACACACACACACACATACACACACACATATATATTGCAGCATAATATCATTTCAAATAAACCGAGAGACTCAGAAGCATGTTCGCTCGAGAGATGTTCCCCTGACAAATTATCTCACGAGGAAGAAAGATGTAAAATACGCGAATGCTTTCAGGTGGCAATAACTGGAGATGAAAGAGGGAGAGAGAGAGAGAGGGGGGGGGGAGAGGGAGGGAGGGAAAAAGGGGGAGGGAGAGAGAGAGAGGGAGAGAGAATGGGGGAGGGAGAGAGCGAGAGAGAGAGAGAAAGGGGGAGGGAGGGAAAGAGAGAGAGAAAGGGGGAGGGAGAGAGCGAGAGAGAGAGAGAGAAAGAGAGGGAGAGAGAAAGAGCGAGAGAGAGAGAAAGAGCGAGAGAGAGAGAGAGAGCGAGAGCGAGAGAGCGAGAGAGAGAGAGCGAGAGCGAGAGAGCGAGAGAGAGGGAGAGTAAGAAAGAGAGAGACCGAACACACACGTACACACACAATGACAAAACAATGACACCGACACAGAGAAGAGGTGTTATAAAGGCAGGAATGGAGAACGAACAACACACACACGCACACACACACACACACACACACACACACACACACACACACACACACACACACACACACACACACACACACACACACACACACACACACACACAAGAACAGTGTTTGTGACGTTAAAGAAAGTAGCATTTTGTGAGAAATCTTTACAGGTATGAGGAGGGAGGGAGAGAGAGAGGGTGGGGGAGGGTGAGAGGGGGGTCGGAGGTGGGGGGAGAGGTGGTGAAAGTGACAGACACACAGACAGAGAGAAATGGAAATAGAAAGGGAAAGAGAAAAAAATAAAAGAAAGAGAAAAAAATAAAAGAAAGAGAAAAAAATAAAAGAAAGAGAAAAAAAACCAGAGAAGCAAACAAACAGACACATACATACAAAACGTGTACGTGTGTATGTGTGTAAACGTCGATGTGTACGTGTGTGTGTGTGCGTGTACGTGATTATGTATATCCCCACGTAAAGGCACCAGCTGGGACGAGAGAGAGACACAGATAGAATAGCTTCCCTTTTCTTCTCCTTTCTCATTCTCCTACACAATGGAAGTCCAGAGAATTCGTAAGGTGGAAAATAAAGGCGAGGGGAGGAAGAGGGGAGAGAGAGAGAGAGAGAGAGAGAGAGAGAGAGAGAGAGAGAGAGAGAGAGAGAGAGGAAGGAGAAATGTAATTCGGATTTTGTTTCTTCCCTCGTTTGTAGTGTCCATTTCTGAGTGCTTGTACGTAAGAGAGGGAGAGAGGGAGAGAGAGAGGGGGGGAGAGGAAAGAGAGAGAGAGGGAGGGGGGGGAGGAAGAGAGAGAGAGAGAGAGGAGAGAGAGTGAGAGAAGGAGAGAGAGAGAGAAGGAGAGAGAGAGAGAAGGAAAGTGAGAGAGAGTGGAAGATAGAGAGAGAGAGAAGGGGAGAGGAAGAGAGAGAGAGAGAGAGAGAGAGAGAGAGAGAGAGAGAGAGAGAGAGTGTGAGCGTGCTTATGTCTTTGTCTGCCAGAGAGATGAAAAAAGAAAGAGAGACATACAGACAGAAAGACGCGCAGGCGGCAGACAGACAGACAAACAGACCGACAGACAGACAAATAGCTAGAACTAGACAAGACAGAGAGTGAGTGTACGCGTACATCTCTGTGTATGTGTACGTGTTCGTGTGCGTGCGTTATGTGCGTTTGTTCTCGATCTTTCCCGCGTTCGATTCCCTGGCGGTGTTGCATAAATCTCCCTGCCAACTTGTGTCCAATTGAATGCGTCCTTATTGTCTTATTAAAGCAACAGGGAAGGGGGGAGGGTAGAGAATTAAGGAGGGGAAGGGGGTTATTTTGTTGTGAAGGAAAAAAAAACGAAAATAGAAGACTATAGGACCAAAGTCACGACATCAAAGAAACTGGAAATTTAACGGGAAGGAAAGAAAAAAAGGTCCCGTTTTCTGTTGAAGGAAAAAAAAATGGCGGTCATACTGAGTCATTTCTGTTTTTGTTTTTTTTTTGTCCTTTTTTTTAAGGGAGTAATCTTTTTGATGGAGAAAAGACTAAAGAATAATGCTAAGAGATTTTGAAAAACCTTTTAGAAATAGTGATTGGGTTTTTTTCTTATGTGTATAGTTTACGTCGAAAAGGTTTATAGTTTAGTTTAAAGGCGTTTCGTTTTCCGACTGTCTTTTGTTTTGGTGGTGTTATCGTTCTCTTTGTGATTATTTTCATTTCACATTCTTCTTCTTCTCGTTCTCCTTCTTTATTTATCTGTTTCTGTTTCCTCTTTTCTATTTTCCCCCCTCCTCCCCCACCCTTTTTTATTATTATCATTATTACCATCATCATCATCATTATCATTATCATTATCATCAGTATCATTATATTCATCATTATTATCATTATCATTATATTCATCATCATCACCACCATCATTATCAACATCATCATCACCATTATCATCATCATTATCATCATCATCATCATCATCATCATCATCATCATCATCATCATCATTATCATCATCATTGCCACTGTTATTGGCATTAGTATTACTGACGATAGTATTTAACGCTGATAATAGTATTCGCAGTAATCAACAACTGATAGATAGATAGATAGTTGGGTTGGTAGGTAGGTAGGTAGGTAGGTAGATAGACAGATAGATAGATAGATAGATAGGTATGTAGGTTGATAGATAGAGTGAGAGATAGATAGATAGACAGATAAACATAGATATAGAAATACTCATATATGATTTATTTAAATTGAAATACATTATGCAATCAGATTTTCAAATAGTTTTTTTTTTTTTTTTTTTTCCACTGAAATTAACCGAAATTTCTGTACTGATATTAACCGATATCTGAACTGAAATTCATCGTTCACTGACATCAACAAGTGATTGCAAGCTGACATCAACCTTAAATTCATTGTCAACCAATATGTTGCAACCCCAGACAATCCCCTTTATTGCATCGTTGCATCGAGGACTTTGTTTGCATATTCCTCTGCAATGTTGCAAGCGCGGATCATTATGTAAGGTGTTTTACTTTTCAATTTATCTCGAGATTGTTGCAGAATAATGAGCGTTGCAACGTACGCTTAATTCTGGGGATCTTCTTGTGCAATAGTGATGAGTAATGATGGTGATGTTGATAATAGGATGGTGATAGGAATATATAGGATAATTATGATGACGATAAGGATCATGATTATGGTGATTTGCATATTTTCGTAAGAGTCGCTGTCAATAGAATTTATATCGTAGCTAATTTACATAGGGGCTTCATCTGCCTATGTGCTTAACCTATCAATTTTTCTATCTTTTACCTATATCTTTTAAAATGTTTTCCTCATGTACACCTGCAATGTGATCAAACTGATACTTATATCGAGACTAATATTATTAGTATTACGGTTACTAGCATCAGCTGTAGTTGCTATTGAAACGAAATGTGAACTACTAGTTACAGTCGATGATTCTTGTACCATTACATTTTTTTCCTATTTTTTTGATCGCTAATTGCAATTATTGTTGTTCTTTTTAATACGATTCTTGTTAGTATCACTGCTATAATAACTACTATTACTCTTACCCTACAACTGTTGCTATTATTAGGCTACTACGATTGCCGTTATTTTCCGTATCAATGTCACTATTTAGCTACTAGCATTTTCGCTTACTCTTGCTATTAGGTACTACGGTAACTACTATGACTTTCAGTACATTACTAAGGGGTAGCTGTGTCATTGTCTCTATTGTTATGCGGTAATTTCAATAAAATTTATGATATTGTAGGTTTTTTTCATCTTTCTTCCTTTTTGCTTTCTTTGTTTATTTGTTTTTTGTTGTTGTTTTGTTTGTTTATTGTTTATTCGCTTTCTTCCTCGATGCGTATTTGATGCGTTTCCTTCGAATTCTCGTCGGGAATATGATTTAAATTCTTGTTTACTTTTCGTTTTTCGTTGTTTTTTTCAAATTCTTTCAGTTTTTATTCTTTTCGTTTCTTTTCTTACTCATTATGTTAGACGAATTAGTGTCTAACCTCTTTTTTTGTTTGTTTGTTCCTTGCTTTATTTATTTATTTTCGTTCCTTTTCTTCTTTCTTTCTTTGCTTTAACGGATCTTATGTTATGTGTCATTTCTTCGTTCTTTTCTTCCTTCCTTCTTTCTCTCCCTTCTTTCCTTTTTACTTCGAATTTCTCTTTTCCTTTCACCATTTCTCTCATTTCTTTCTTTCTACGAGTTTCTCTCTTTCTCTTTTCTTCCATCCACCAATTCTTTCATTTCTTTCGCTCTTTCAGTCTTACGCTGTGTCTATTTTTTTCTTTTCCCGTCGTCGTTTCTTTTATTTATTCCTTCGTTCAAGATAGTTAATTTTTTCCATCTTTCCTTCTTTCGTTTCTTTTCTTTCTTCCTTTTATCAACTGATTTTTTCCTGCGTCTAATTTCTCCTTTAATTCCATCGTCTCCCTCATTTCCTTCTTTTATCAACTGATTTTCCCGTGTCTCATTCTTCCTTCTTTCCTTCCTTCCTTCTTTCTTCCATTTATCAACCGATTTTTTCCTGCGTCTACTTTCTCCTTTCTTTCCTTCGTCTCCCTCATTTCCTCTTTTTATCAACCGATTTCCCCCCGTGTCTAACTCCTCCTTTAATTCTTTCGTCTTCCTCATTTCTTCCTTTTATTAACCGATTTTTTTCCTGCGTCTAATTCCTCCTTGAATTCCATCGTCTCCATTTTTCTTCCTTTTATCAACTTCCCCTGTGTCTAATTCTTCCTTTAATTTCTTCGTCTCCCTCATTTCCTTGTTTTATCAACCGATTTTCCGCCGTGTTTACTTTCTCCTTTCTTTCCTTCGTCTCCATTTTTCTTCCTTTTATCATCTTCCCCTGTGTCTCATTCTTCCTTCTTTCCTTCCTTCCTTCCTCCCTTCCTTCCTCCTTTCTTTCCTCCTTCCCTTCCTTCCTTTTTTCCTTCCTTCTTTCCTCCCTTCCTTCCTCCTTTCTTTCCTCCCTCCTTTCTTTCCTTCTTTCCTTCCTCCCTTCCTTCTTTCTTTCCTTCCTCCCTTCCTTCTTTCTTTCCTTCCTCCCTTCCTTCCTCCTTTTTTCCTCCTTCCCTTCCTTCCTTCTTTCCTTCCTTCTTTCCTCCCTCCCTTCCTTCCTTCTTTCTTTCCTCCCTTCCTTCCTCCTTCTCTCTTGGTTCCCGCCTATCGCACGCCATTAGTGCAAAGTCATACCCCTCAAGATTTCTTAATAAGATCTTGTGCATAATCAGTTTATCGAACTTGCATTTATTATCCTCATTCTCATTACAGTGTCGGATTAGATTTTTTTTTCGTTCTTTTTTTCGTTTTTTTTTTTTCGTTTTTTTTTTTTACATGTCGGGTCTCTCATACGCTGGTGTTTTACACGTGGCAGCGGTTGCGGGGTTTTTTTATATGCATGATGTCTCCTTGTTCGTGGGAGCGTTTGTCTTCTGTTTGTTTCTTTTTTTATTTGTTTATTTCTTTTTTTTTGTTTTGTTTTATTTGTTTGCTTCATTTTTTTAACATTTCGGATCTCTCATGCGCTCATGAAAGCGGTCGCGGGTTTTATACGCATGACGTCTCATTGTTCGTGGAGGCGTTTGTCTTCTGTTTATTTCATTTTTTGTTTGTTTTGTTTGTTTCCCTGTGTCGTGTGTTTGTTCTGGTGTAAAGAATCTGGTGCGAGGTCGTAAGCTTGTTGATTTTTGGTGTGGTGTAATTACATATATATTTAATAAATAAACAAAAGAAGATTATTGTTTGTTTGTTTGTTAGATGAAGACGTAAATGTTAGGAATTTTAAAAGTTTGATGATAAAGAAGTAAGAGTTTATTGTAACACTTTAAAGTAAATTCGATTATTTTTTTAAGAAATTATAAACAAGTTTTAAAATGTTTTAAAAGTCCATATAAAAGTTAAATCTAAAACTAAAGTTGATTTGCCCGTTAAAAAGTTTGCTATCAGAGCTCTTGATACTATGTAAGTTAAAATAAAAAGTTTTGAATTTTAACTCAAAATAAAAACGTTAAAAAACGTAAAACTAACAAAAATAAACAATACACGATCATGTAAAGAACAATAGAAATGCCTATTTTAATAAAGATAATTTAGAGTGAAAAAAAGAAATACGAAAATAGAAATCGCCCCTCTTAACTAAATAACATAATTACCTTTTATATATATAAACAATTTAAAGTAAAAAAAAAAAAAACGAAAATAAAAATTGCCCCTCTCAGCTGAATAACATAAATACCTCTTATATATTATATAACAATTTAAGAGTAAAAAAAATAATAATAAAAAACAAAAATTGTCTTTCTCAGTTGACCACTAACCACGCCCACTTCCTCCCCCTTCCCCCCCACAGCAACTCCTCTGCTCAGTCCTCCAAGTCGTGGCCACGCTCGCTCTCACGCCCCACCATCACCAAGCTCTCCTGGCCGCCAAGATCCCCGACGCCCTCACCCAGCTGGTTCTGCCGTCCGACGAGTGGTTCTACACCAACCACTCCACCAGGCACGCCCGTTACGTCAAGCACCACGCCGCCCGCACCTTGGTTTACCTCGGCCTCCAACACCGCGTCAA